GTGTGTATATATATATATATATATATATATATATATATATATATATATATATTCACCCAATCACCCAATCCTTTATCATATTCAATGTAGCAAATCAGAGTACATTTCATTTGTTTTTCAAAATGAAAACAGGAAATGCCAAAATATTATAGAATTTGCATATATTATTAAATCGTATAAATTTTACTCTTTGATTCAATTTATGTGATTTATTTTTCTAATTAATCTCTAAATAAATGACATATTTCTATATTAAGTAACAAGTTAACTATAAAATGTCTATTTTATCCTCAATAAAATGATTTATAGCTACACAAATTTTTATAATTAATTTTAGATCACAAATTTTAAAAATCTTACTTTCTTTCTTAAACTCCATGTCAAATCAAAATACATCACATAATATGAGACGGAGGGAGTATTCACTGTCTTGATGAAGTAATGGCGGGTGAATTAGTAGAATATGAAGAGGGTACAATAGGCATTGCTCTGAATTTGGAATCAAATAATGTTGGTGTTGTATTAATGGGCGACAATTTGTTGATACAAGAAGGAAGTTCTGTAAAAGCAACGGGAAGAATTGCTCAGATACGCGTGAGTGAGGCTTATTTGGGTCGTGTTATAAATGCCCTGGCTAAACCTATTGCTGGTAGAGGTGAAATTTCAGCTTCTTAATTTTGATTAATTGAATCTGCCGCTCCCGGTATTATTTCGTGCCATTCCGTATATGAGCCTCGTCAAACCGGACTTATTGCTATTGATTTGATGATCCCTATAGAATGTGGTCAACGAGAATTAATTATTGGGGACAGACAAATCGATAAAACAGCAGTAGCCACAGATACCATTCTCAATCAATAAGATCAAAATGTAATATGTGTTTATGTAGCTAATTTTGAAAGTCGTGATTAAAAGTACATTAATTTTGTATACTTGAAGAACTATTTGTGCTCTGAGTATATACATAAGGACTATTCTGAATTAAGACACAAACATTAGGGACTATTTTAGGCAAACAAAGTAGCAAAAGAAAATGGAAGGTCATTTCCTTCTTACAGCGTCGTTTCGCGATTAATGTTCTCCTAGCCACCACTTTTTCACTTCACTTCCCCCATTTCTTCAGGCTATATTTAGCCGGAGCTTACATCACCGCCGGTTCCGTCATCTCTATCGCCGTACGTAGATGTAGAGACGAGAACAAATTATCGAGTTGATTCTTAGGGTTCGAAAGCGGCTCTAATAATGGTGGTAGCCTCAACCAATGCATTTTCCAAAGAGATGGCCATCAGAAAACGCATTGCCAACATGTAATCTATCTTCGTCTCTGTTTTATCTATTCTATTTAAACGACTTCTTTTTCACTGTATTGCAACAGTTTAAAATTAATCAGTAATTATTACATGTGAAGTTTGCAGAGCTGAGAACTTGTTTTTTGATTTTGTGGTTGCTAACTAATGGAAGGAGGTGATTTTGAGTGAAATTAAGTATTAGCTTGACTTGTAAACTATTTATATTGTAGTGAGAGAAAAATATTTTAACCTAATAATGGAGACTTTACTTCTGTTTTGGTGAACTCTTTTGTTTATCTTAGTCTATAAACTTCTATATACTTCAATTTAATTTTGCAGCTATAATAAAAGAGAAGAGAATTTTCCATCATTGCGTGAATACAATGATTATCTGGAGGAAGTTGAGGATATGAGTAAGCATTATTCTTCACTGATTTGTTCAAGTTGGAAATCGTAAAATTTTGCTTAACAGAATGCTGTTGTTTGCAGTATTCAATTTAATTGAAGGCATTGATGTTCCTGCTATTGAGGCAAAGATTGCACAGTACCAGAGAGAAAATGCAGACCAAATCATGATTGCTCAAGCACGTAAGGTTTGTCCATAAGTTGCTCTGATTGCAAATGGAAATGAGTTTGTAGCAACTAGTAAATGATGCTGCAAAGCATTAGTATTTCACAAACTGCTCTTTTAATTTGCTTTGTGGTGAACTAGGCTGAAGAATATGCAGCAGCCTTGGCAGCCAGCAAGGGACAGCCTGCACAGTCCGATGGAGATGTGAGTTGACTAATGATTCCTTCTCTTAAAATTTATGTTCATTTATTAGTTCTGGTTTGACATGATCAAATATCTAAGGAACTTTTCATAGTAATCAGCAGCAGCATAACAGTGTCTTGAGCTTCTACCTTTTTCTTTATTCCATATTGATGAATAAGCTTTAGGATCATTTCCACGGCAAGTCTTAGTTTAGAACAGTTTTCTCCAACTTCATTCTTCCTTTTTCAGTTTCACTTTTTTCCAGAATATCAGTAGTAATTTGAATAGAAGTCCTATATAGCAATTCGAAAAATTGTTTGAAATAAGCAATGCATGACTTATAGAGTAAAGTGATAATTACTGGCCTAGTATAAACTGAAAAAATATGTGCTAAAATGCAGGAAAGCCAAAGTTGTATGATTTTTCTTCTTTTTTTTTCTTGGAACTGGTTGTATGATTTTGGTTTGACTAAAAATCCCCTGTTTCCTCAAATGACAGAGTAAAAGAATCCATTCTTTGACTCAAGACTGAACTAACTACTATATTGTTTGGGTTTCTTTTGCCACATTTCACCTCCTTCTTGACCTTGGTTAAAGCATGACATATGCATCATTTTCATACTGGTATAAACTAGCAAGGCAATCGCTGTCACAAGCAAAAAAATGGCCCACATCTAGGCCATGGCGCATAACACACACTCCATGAACCAAGTGCACCGAACTTCCAAAATTCATATGCATAAGCCAAACCTCTTTCATTGTTAAATATGTAAGTGAATATATAATTAATGTTACACAAAGTTGGTTTGTCTTAACGATGTGTTGATTATAGCAAGACTCCTCAAACTTAAACCATCTATCAGTTACAATTTGATTTCTTAATGTGTAGAGTTTCAAACCAGAGGGAGTTGAAAGTTCATAGGATTTGTAGGGAGAATGATGGGGTGGGGTGGGGGGAGTACTTTGGGATCTCAGGTTCAGGAGAAATCTACAAAAATGGAAGCTGGGTGAGCTTCAAAGGTTAATGGAGTTTCTCTACAGGGAAATCAGGTCTCACTCCAATAATGACTCATGGAGATGGGTGCTGAGAGTGATAGTTTATTCTCAGTCGAATCTCTTTACTAGAGTTCGTGGGTGATAGAGGAGACACACTTCCCACATTCATTGACTTGGATTCTTAGGGCGCATGCGAAGGAGTTTATTTGCCAGGCTGGCAACAAGGGGAGCAATTCTGACAACTGAGAATCTGAAGAAGAGATATATTACTTATCTAGGTGGTGTTATATGTGTAAATGATCAGGCAAAGAAGTTAATCATATTTTGGTGCATTGTAAGGTGGCGTCAGGTTTGTGGAGGGTGATCTTGAATTGTTTTGGCATACAGTGGGTGATGCCATGTTTTCTTTATAACGTTAACTAATGGGTGATGTCATGCATAGCTGCGCTGGCAGACACAGAGAGTAGAAGACAAGGGGCATGGAGGTTGCTTTATTAGTTCTTATGTGGGTTGTTTGGAGGGAAAGAATAGGAAAGCTTTAGAGGGGATTAATGGTTTTGTACATGTTCCTATATCCTTTTTTTTTTTGTAAATTTGAGGGATAGCCTTTTGCTTGTTATTGCTTTTGGTGCATCGTTGAGATTCCAACTTGTATAGATGATTGGATGTCTTTTATAGAGAATCATGTCCTTATGTAGATTTTCCATTTTATGGTACACCTCCTGAATACAAGAATTTTCCTTTTTATTAATAATAAAATATTGTTTACCTTATATCAAAAATATATCATATACTCTCTACACCAGAAGTATGGAGAGATCTAATGCTGCTTGAGTTTTCTTTAACTTTAAAAATTATATAGTCTCTCTCCAGATCATACAAAAAAATGCAGAGAGCGGTAGTCTTCACAGTTAATTTTTTGAGAAAGTAACATTTGTATTATAAACCAACACTCAGTTAGTGCAGAAAAAACCTTTTACAACAAGTGAGAAGTTAGTACCAAAAAAAAAGGAACTCCTGATATTAGTGTGACCCTAAATCTCTAGGATAACTTCTGCATCTAGGGGTGGTACACCAAAAAACAAAAGCAAAATACCATATGTTTTGATCCTCTGAACTGTCCTACTCCTATCTCAAAACTTCTAGCATTCCTCACCTCCCAGACAGTCCACCAAATGTGTGCTGGAATGGTTCTCTAAATGCACCTGTTCCTGGCTCCAATTCCAGCTTCCTCCTAACTTTAAAAAGTGTCAACAATCTTGCTAGGGCATTGTCCATTGTATGCCTCTAAGATTGATAAGAATCTTCCATAGTTGGTTAGTAATTCTGCAATGTAGGAACAGATACCCCACTCTCCCATCTGCCTCTCCACAAACAACAATGTGTAACTAAGATGATGTACCTCTTTCTTAGATTTTCATGTCTCAAAACTGCCTCTTTTGCTAACAACCATGAGAAGCATGCGACCTTCAGAGGTGTTTGGGCTTTCCAAATTTGTTTTCATGGCGAGATGTTGTTCCTGGACCCCAGTGACTTTTAGAAACTTGTACCCTGAACTTACTTTGTATGCCCCTATGCTGTTTCAATTCCACCCTAATCCGTCAATCCCAACTTTTAGCCTTTGGAAGGATTCAAGACTCAAGAGTTTTAAGTAGTTCAAACATTCGTGGAATTTCCCAGCCATCCAATTTTCTTCTGAAGACGAAATTCCAACGTTGAGGAGACCACATGTCTGCCACAGTTCTGTCCTGATGCAAAGCTAAAATTAAACAAATCTGGGAACTTTATTGATAGGCTTCTATTGCCTAACCACTTGTCTTTCAAGAGGACAGTTCTTCTACCATCGTTGACTGCATATAGTGTGGCTAAGTAAGATGGGCCACCAGTTTCTGATTGATCTCTAGACAGCGACCCCACATGGGTTATTTGCTTCTTTAGTAACCCGACAATCAATTTCACCGTACTTCAAATGATCACATTTTCTCTGAGAGTGTGACTCATGAGTATATCTCCACAACCATTTCATTTTTTAAGCTTTGCTAGGGCTTTTCAAATTTTTCATTTCCAAGATCTCCCTGTTTCTAGTTGGTATAAGCACTTTCCACTTGAAAGGATGATAACCCGTTCTGGTTTTGTTTCATTGTGATAAAAGGATCTCCTAATCTTATCTAGCCTCTGTACAACACCGGCAGGAATTGAAACAAAGTAAGCGTATAAGATGGAAATGCATCAAGAACAACATTGATCAAAGTAAATCTGCCCCCTATAGACAACTACTAGGCTTTCCATTTAGAAAGCTTTCTTTCACTTTTCTCCAGAACCAATCCCGTATTTCTTTTGACCTTGATATTAGACCCCAAAGGCATCCCTAAGTACATAGAGGGTAAGGCTCCCATTTCTCCTCCCAGAATTCAGGCCAGAAGATCAATGTTTGGGACTGGATCAATGGGAAATACACGGTTCTTCCCCCCGTTTGTATGCAAAGCTGTGATACCTTCAACAAGTACTAGAATTACTCTTAAATATCTTAAAGGCTCCTCGTCTGCCTCACAGAATATCAGTGAATCATCAGCATATTGGAGATGTGTCACCTCCAGACTATCTCCACTGCTTACAGGCACCTCAAAACCTGATATCTATCCATAATCTTTTGTAGTATTGATCATATTATTTAGACCCTCCATGGCTAGGATAAACAAAGAAGGGGACAAGGGATCCCCTTGTCTTATATCCCTTGGGATGCAAAGAAGCCTTCTGGTGCACCATTAATCAGTACTAACAACTTCAGTGGAACTACATAAGCTGATCCATCTAATCCATTTTCCCCCCAAATCTCACTCCTTAAGAGTGTTGAGAAGGAACCCTCAATTCACATGATCATAAACTTTTCCAATGTCCAATTTGCATAAGATTCCAGGCTTCTTTTGAGCCAGCCTTTTCTATTGCTTCAATGGCAATCAACATCATCCATAATCAGTCTCCCTAGGATGAAAGTCATTATGGAGAGTCTACTAACTGAGTAACTTGTCCATCACCCCTTTACCTCTCAATCAGCACTTTGGACAGAAGCTTATAAAGCTTCCTATCAAGCTAATTGGTCTAAAGTTTTTAGCTCCTTAGCCCCTTTCTTCTTTGGAATCAAAGTAATATATGTGGCATCGGAACTCCTTTCGAACATCTCATTTTCAAAGAAGCTGTGGGAAGCATCCATGACATCTGCTTTGAAACATCCCAGCATTTAATGAAAAAATTCGTAGTATACCCATCAAGTCTAGGATCTTTGTCCACAGCACACTTCTTCAGACAACTGAACACTTCCTGTTCCTCAAAACTTGCTTGTAGTTTTGCCTCTTCCTCTGATATTGTGGGGGCATTTTGGGGCATTCTCTGCAGGTCTCCGCCTCTCTGTTACTGTATACAGTTTCTTATAAAATTGTATGATTTCCTCTTTTACTCTGTTTGGTTCTTTTAGTGTACCCCTTTGCAGTTTGCACTTCTAGGAGATCAATGTAGTTACTTCTTTTGTGGGCATTGGTTGAATTGTGGAAGAATTCAGCATTGTTGTCACCTTCTTTCAGCCACAACATTGTACATAATTGTCTCTGGTCAATCTCCTCATTCTTGAGCAATTCTTCAAATTCCATAAATATTGTTGCCTTCACAGCTGCCTCTTCCTCTGTCTAAAGCTCTGCAATCAATTATAGATACCATAACTGTCATTCTGTTTAGCAAAGGGGATCTTTGCAAAGACAGGATTCCTTTTTCTTCCCTACTCCATTCATTTAGCTTGTCTTTCAGTGCTTCTAATTTGCAAGCTAATAAGTAATCTGGTTTCCCTGGAATGTAAATGAGTTCCACCATGATCTGACTCAGTCTGCGAACCCCTCAGATTTAAGCAGCCAGTTTTAGAATTTGAAGTATGACTAGGTATCAAGAACCTTAAATACCAAAGCAAAGCACTCAAGGTCAAGTGGCTATGGAGGTACCATCAGGAGGACCAAGCCCTCTGGTACAGGGTAATCAAGAGCAAGTATGAGTAGATGAACACATGGGTAACTAAAGAGGTCAACACCCCCATGGTATTAGCCTCTGGAAATCCATTAGAATATTCTGGCAGTTTCTCAGTAGTCAATTAACTGTTAAAGTTCGAAATGGTAGAAAAACAAGTTTTTGGATTGATAAATGGATGGGTACTGTGAGCCTTAAAGATCTCTTTCCTGACATCTTTGTTTTGGCTCAACACCAAGAGAAATCTGTTGCTGAAATGTGGTCACCACAAGGATGGAATATGATCTTTAGAAGAAACTTGAATGACTGGGAAATTCCCAGAATGATTGAACTTTTCAAACTACTGGAGAGTTTCCAAGGAATCCAACCAGGTGAAGACTATTTATGGTGGCATGGGCACAACAAAGGAAGATACAGGGTGAAGGAAGGATATAAACAAACAAGTCTTATGGAGAATTAAGACTTCAAATGGCCTTGGAAGCAAATTTGGAGAGTCAAAGTGCCACAAAAAGTGGCATGCTTCACCTCGCTGCTAGCCAATGAAGCAGTTATGGCATTGAACATTGTGGCCAAGAGAGGTTATCTCTATGCAACAGATGCTCCTTATGTGGTAAGGATACAGAGACAGTAAACACCTCTTTCTACACAGTCACTGATCAACTGTTGCAGATTTTCCTTAATCTCAGAGGCATTTCCTGGAGTATGCCTAGTAAGATTGATGAGACTCTTTTCAGTTGAGAGGAGGCTGGAGTTGGGGCTACAAACAGAGAAAGATGGAGGATGACACCTGCTTGTATATGGTGGACTATGTGGAGAGAGAAATGATAGATGTTTTGAAAATAGGGACAACAACCTGCAGGAAGTCAAGCTTAAATGTATTTTGTTGTACTGTTTTGGGTGTACAAATGTCTACTCCAATGAGACTGAGTCAATCATAGATGGTTTAGGGTCCATCTAGTTCCTGGTTTAGCATTGGAAGGACTTCAAATCTTTTCTTCTTTTTGTAAAAAATATGGTTTTTCAGTACTACCTAAGCACTGACTGAAATATAATGTTACTAGTGTCATAAAAAGGCCCATGATTTGATCAGTGTAGTCCTTTGATAACACTAATCATTTGATGTCAATCTCTAGAGAGTAGTCTGCTTCCCCTGCTAAATTGTTCAGTTCGCTCTGCAGAGGATAAAACTCTGTGTATCCTTGAAGCTGCATTATTAGTGTCTCCTCTGAACCATGTATAACTTCCTCTTTATAAAGGAAGGTCAATGATTTCCAAGTTTTCTATGGTATCTAATAAGCCTATCATGGCCGGAGGTCCTTCTTTAACAATTTATCTGTTTTGTTGGAAACCTATGCACATTGAAATCCCCACATACTACCTAGGGACTCTCCATTAGCCCTCTCACAGCCCCTAGCTCATCCCACACCTCTCTTCTTTCTACCTTACAATTTGGAGCATAGGCCCCTGAAATGTGGCAATTGAAGCTTTGGAGCTAAGTTCCAGTACTGCAAGTTAAAAGTATGTAGCCCTGTTTGTAGTACCTCTCCTTCCATACTCTACAATATCATACCATGATGATTCCATCCTTGGTACCATTGGCTTCTAGACAGGCAAATTCAACTCCTCCCTCCCTGTAATTGTTTCATATCTCTTGCAGATTCCCCTGTAACTTTGTTTCCTGAAGACGAAGTATATCAGCCCTCCATTGTTCAATACAGTTCTTCACTACTCTTCTTTTTCCCCATCATTTAATCCCCTAATATTCCATGACATCAGGTTTAGCTTCATGGATCAGACTGTGAACCCTATTTCCCCTTGTTTTTCCCTCACTACTTTTGAACTTCAATATCAAAAGTAAATAAGTTCTTCAATTTGTTGGCACCTTTAAACCTGTTTTTCCTGATTTCTAAGGATGGATCCATCTTACTAGTTTGTCTACAAGCATGTACTTGCATATGTAGCTCAAGAGTCGAGGGATTCCTCCTTGTGACCTTTGAAATCAGGTCCAAACATTTGCCCTAGCTTGATATGTTCTGTCGCACCCAAGCTGCTGTGGACCTCCCCTTTTCGATGTCATCTGATGATGTTTCTGGGCTTTTTGCATGCTTCTTCCACATTCCATATCTCTCCTCCCATACTTGAATTGCCAATCATAATTTGTTGTTCCTCGTGATTCTCGGGCTCCCTTTCTCCCTCACCATTATTTCCAGTCTCTTTTGAGTTTTCCTCTGTATGTCTTGTTGTGTTGGTAACTGCTTCTGGGTTTTGTAATAGAACTTTGGAGCTCTTCAGTATTTTATGCTCTGGTGATTTCTGATACTTATGTTTTAAGCATCGTGATCTCATCCCAAAGTTCATCTATAAATACACCTGAATTGCGTTAGGCTTGGAGGCTTACTGTGGTTGGACCGTCCCATATTTGGATATACTTAGAACTTCCTTTTCCCGACTTGAAAGTCTCACGTGCTCCTCACATGGGTTTTAAAATTTCTTCCGGACCTCACGTGAGGAGCATGTAAGACTTTTGCATACTTTTACATGTTTGTGTTTAACCAATTAGGTTGAAAGAATTTAAAAGTGAAACATGCTATAGGAATGAATAAAGGATTTAACTCCAACAGTAACCTTTTATGGCATAGTATGCCATCAACCGTGTTAGCAAGAGAAAACAGCAGTGCACTCAAAATCTGTTCAAAGCAGACACATCATTGTCCATCAACCATGTTAGCAAGAGAAAACAGCAGTGCACTCAAAATCTGTTCAAAGCAGACACATCATTGTCCATCAACTTTTTGATTAAGTATATGCAAGATGTTTGTGATGTCAGATGTGATTGGTCAGATTTCTAAGACACTATCACTTTAAACTTCTTTTCCTTGTAAACTTTGTCCAGTATCAAAAAGAAAGAAAAACCTAATCCCTGAACAAGTAGCTAGCTTGATGTCGTCCTAATTAACGAATACTCCTCTACCAACCAGATAGTTGGAGAGTTTGAAAAAGGATAGAGTGAGGTTGCAAACAGTAAGAGTAGGACAATGGGTAGTGATGGTTCCTGTATAGCAGTGTATGAGAAGATCAAATGAAAATGAGGGAATGTAATTGGATTATAACTATGGTTAAGAGTGTATCCAATGTATTAGCTATGGGTTCGAAACCCATAGATTTTGGCTTAGGCTATGTATATGCGTTAATAAATTCACTAAATATGTATAATAATAGATTCTAGATCTTGTGAATTTGATGGAAGTGATGGTTATGAATTTGAACCCATAAAGTTAAAATCCCAGATCCGGCCTCGATTATGTTTTTTCATATCGAATCACTTCTTAAATTGTGATCATGTAGATAATCTGATATTATTGGTTACCAATTTTTTCTTCAATTATGCAGGCTTTGGGCCAAGGGCCTCAGGCAGGGTCCAGTACAGGTCCACAAGGGCACTATGCCCCTGCAATAGCTGGAGGCATAGCTCAGCCACGGCCAACACAACCTCTCCCAGTTGGATCATTTCCAGATATGCTAGGGGGAGAGTATGAAGATGATGAAAAGACGAAACTAAGAACTGAAAGGGCTGCTAAGGCTGGGGGTTGGAGTTTAGAAATAAGCAGGAAAAGGGCACTTGAAGAAGCCTTTGGAAGCCTATGGGTCTGAAAGTTGTACATCCATTTTGAAGACTCTGTTCCAGCTGTGTCACATTCTGTGGATTCTGGCAAAAATTGTGGTGGAAAGTAGCAATCCATTCTGGATTACTCAGAGAAATGCCATCAATGGAGCAGCATTTCTTTTGTTCTTAGATGGTATCGTGTAAAACTTACCAAATTCTGGGTTATCATAGAATGTCTTTGGTCTTTGTAAGGCTTCTTCACAAGAGACCTCAGCTTGCCTCTCCATGTGACCGATGACGTCGTGGTAATTGTTATCGGTGATTTTGGTACTTATCTAGCTACTCAAAATGAGCCCTTATATTAACAATTTAAGGTTCACGACCACTGTTTGGCATGATCTTTAATCGACTGTAACACTTGCAATGACATTTGGGCTTCTCACTTACAAAATGAATTTACTTAACATGGAGAGTTTACTACATTCCTTTTCTTAATGTTTTACAAGTTGGGCACGTGTAGGTAAAATATAGTAGCATTCAGAGAGTTTTAAAGAATTTCATCCATCAACAAATATAATAATAGACACCATGTATTTGAGACCACTTCTCCGAATAAGATATTTTCCCTAATCAAGTGCGAAGATGAGAGGGGCTTTCTAAAGTTACAACAACAATTAATAACCAATCTGATGCTTATTTATCTCCCTTTCAGAGGAAACGGGAAGAAAAACTAATCAACAGCATAAGGCGAAAAAATCAATGCGAAATGACAGTATACTGCCTCTCTTACCCTCAGAATTGGACTACTCCAAATCAAACTAGAATCTTGAAGTTACAATATCACACAGTTGAAAATGGTACTGCATTATGTTCATGATGGAAAACTGCCACGAGGAAAAGAATCTTCCTGCTCAGAAAGCTTTCACCTTTTTCGGAAGTATATAGCTCCTGCTCTACGTGATAATCCCCCGGAAAACAAGGTGGCAGTTTCAGACTAAATCAATTAACCAATCAAACTATGCTTGGTGGATCACCTTCCCAAGTACATGTGGCTCGGGCCCAGCGTGTCCGGATGCAGTCAACTAATGGAGCATGCTGAGAAGGTTCAGGTTTTGAAACTTCAGTGACAGAATCCTTACCGGCAGGATCACTTGTACTTGGGCCTGAAGACATGAACTCCTCTGGCGTCCACCTTGGGGGAACTGAAACCCTCAGCTTAGTGAGTCTAGGCCTTTGTACCGGAATATCATTTCCGGATGAAACCTGGTTTCCACTCATAACTGATTTTGCAATCCCATTGAAGTGGTAAAGATCAAAGACCTTTTTCCCCATTAATCCACTAGGATCTTTCAGCCCTCCCAAACTATTGTCCAAGTCCAACAGGACCTGCCAGAATTCACTCCATACAATGTATCCACTGCTACAGAGGTTTTGAAGCTTGTCAGCTGGAAGATTCACATTAGTATCCCTAAGGACTTGATGAAAACCTTCCACACTAATAAATCCACCACCTCCACTCTGATCTTGAGCATCAAAAGCTCTACGGATCTTTGTTTCCTTGCCTTCAAGTTCATTCTCCTCCTGAACTTTTGTATCTAAAGCAAATAAGACAGTGTAATGAGATTCACTGCCAACAACCCATATTGGCCATGCCGGGCATTTCAAATGCAAGCCAACTTTACAAAAGTTCAGGGACTCTAGCAGAGTAATAAATCCAACTTCAACTGTTGTAGAGATACCCTTCACAAACATGCCACCACCCAAATCCATCCTCCCGTCAAACACATTGGCAACAGCTTCACCAGAAAGCAACAGGTTCACAATTTCCTGTTCCAGAAAAGACAAAATATAACCACTTACAAAATTTTTAAAAACAATACACCTTGCCTAACTAGTACCTAAATCTACAACTGACACAAAAGAGGAGCATACAATGTATTCACCGAAACATAAGCCTTCTATCAATCTCTGGATACCTGTGAAGCATGTCCAAAAGGTGCTGTAACCAAAGGTTGAGAAGGATCATCCCTATCAGCTTGGACAGATTCCTGCACAAAGAAGAACCTGTAAAGGCATGGGCTAGTATGACAAGCTACCAAAGCAGAAATGAAGACATTACAATCTCATGAATATACACATCTGATCACCATTGATTTATTCCAGCTGCAAGGATATGATACCACATTGAAGAATTAGCATAACTAATTAGTCTGCATCTACAACGTTAGGAAATAGACCTTAGGCCTAATTCAACTTCAAAAGCTAGCTCATGAGGTGAGACTGCCCAAGACCGTATAAGGAGACTAATTACCCTATCTACAATCAATGTGGGACTATTCTAATGCTCCCGCACTCCCAAGACATCTTGATCGTGGACAGAATATAACATCGGTGTCCAACATTGGCTAATATAAGAATTGAGATGGGTCACTGATACCATATAAGAAAATGATCTTTTAAGGCATACTCAATTGCAAAAGGAAAAGATGAATAAAAAATTATTAATAACTTCAACTATGTATTCCTATCAAGAATCAAAAATGTTTTTTTCTTTTATTAAAGAGGCAAGACGCTTTATTTTAGAGCAAGGGGGCTTACTGTGACTTGCTTTTAATAAGCCGCCTTACTTTGGAAGAATTTATGTCATTTTAGGTGTTCCTTATGGGGGTATTGTTTAGAAACATATTCATATTTCACATTTCATCCGGCTGATAACATATAAATTCCTGCTTGAATTATGAGGGATTATAGTACTGTAAAATTTTGTTTAAGAATTTACTCTTAATTATGCAGAAAAACAACTTACATCCCAACACTCATGGATCATATTCACTTTTTTAAACAGAATCTCACCACATCTTACAACCCAATGGTCCATTTGTTACCTTTTATGTTACCCAAAAAATCAATGCAACCCTTGAGGGTGTAACAGTACATAGTGCATCCTATGTGATACCTCATAATTATTACTGACCAGCTGAACCTCAACAGGAAGCAGCAAGCATAAAACTTTGTAAAGGGAACAATTTAAAATCTGGTAATCAAGAATTTGAACGTTCAGAGCAAAGCAATCAGAATGAAATGGCTGTGGAAGTGTACCATTGATGTTTATCAAAGTTAATTATGAACAGGAAGACAACTGGATGACTAAGGAGGTTACTACACCTTATGGGGTTAGCCTACGAAGATCCATTAGAGCCCTATGGGGTGCGTTGAAAGACAATTCCAAGATCAAAGTTCTAGACGGGAAGCAAACTAGCTTTTGGAAGGAAAATCGACATGAGGTGGGCAATTTGGAAACTGTCTTTTCAGATATCTTCAATTTAGTCCTCCATCAACGAAGGACTTCAGCAAAAATATGGACACCTCAATGATGGAAGATGGAGCATCATTTTCAAAAGACAAATCAATTACTGGGAATTACAGAGAGTGGCTAATTTATATAGTGCATTTGAGCAATTTACTGGGCTATAGACAGGTAAAGATGTATTGTGGCGGCAAGGCAATAACAGGGGTTTATTCAAGGTCAATGCGACTTACAGAATGACGAATCATTCCAACCAGCAGATTCATAAGACACTAGCCATGGAAACACATTTGGAAAACTAAAATCCCTCAGCAAGCAGCCTGTTTTATGCCAACTAGCTAAAGAGGCGGCCTTAGGCTTACACTAGGCAATCTGATGAGGAGGGCTTCCATTGTGTTCAAGTTGTTTTTTGTGTAAAGAAACAGCAGAGAGAGTGAACCATCTCTTCCTTCATTGTAAGTTCACAACACATCTGTGGAGAATTATCGTAAACCTTAAAGGCATATCCTGGACCTAAGCTCTAGTTAGGCAGAATAGAGGCTTACAAGCAAAGGACAAGAGTAAGAGTATTGTCTCTACCTGCATTTGGTGGACAATTTGGAAGGAGAGAAATTCCAGATGTTTCAAGAATATAGAGAATGGTGTGCAGAAAATCGAGTTGAAATTCATCTTGCTTCTGAGTTTTTGGTGTAATCGGAGATTTACTCAAACGATATTGTTTCTATTATTAATGTTTTATAGAGTATTATCGATAGAAAACAGTAGAATTTTAGAGCTCTCATGTAAATATGGTTTCAGTACTACCTAAGTACTGTTTTGTTTCTTTCAGTTACCAGCTTCAAGAACAAACAAAAAAAAGTAGGCACTTGGCCATAGATTCCAATTTTTCCATTATTTGGAATTTATGAAGTTGGAGTTGTGTTTGGTCAAATTTTTTGCAAAGGAGAGGAGTGCACTTTATTTGAAATTTATAAGATGGAGCTTTTTTCTTTTTTGAAGATGTAGTTGGAAGGTTTGGAGCACTTATCCAAAGTTGAAATTCAACTCCAAACACTAATGTTAAAATAAAGTGAAAAATTATTCTAAAAAAGAAATAATTTTTGGATGACTTAATTGAGAAATTGATGGTCTTACGTGGTACATGGGGCAAATCCCAGGCATGGTCAGGTATCACATGAGCCAACAAATACCAACTTACCATTTTAAGCTGACCTTACCTCAGAATTGAATCCTTGGAGAAGATTAAAGTCAAATTTCAAAAGGAGAAAAAACATCATCCGCCTAAAGATAATTTACTAAGTAACTAGCTTTACCACTTGCCAGTTCTTAGTAAGTCCAGTTCCCACTTCCACTGGTTCAACAAAAAAGGGAGCATTATACATTGGCACCTCAGATATAAGCTCCTTCTGTCCCATTTGCTATGAAGTGCATTGACTTTCAAGGCTTTAAGAGAAAAGGTTTGAATGAGTTATTATGATTGAATTTATTAGATATATAATAGTAGTTTGAATAAGTTATTGATTTATTATATTTAATTTGACAGATATATGTTAAAATAGTGGTTGAAGATATAAGAAAAGGTATAAAGATTTCTCATAAAATTCAATACAACATCGATTAATTTGGGCTTATCAAAACAGGTAGAGTTTTTCAATTAAAGGAAGAGGTCAGACATGTGGATAAACCAAAATAGAAACAAGGTCACAAATTGGATTTGGAATAAGATTTTTTTTTTGGGGGGGGTGGGGTGGGGGGGAGTAGAATTACATTCTCTTGTTTTGAAAATGAAGATTATTTTTTTTTTGAAATGAAAATTTCCTCTAGTTGGAAAAGAATTTTCCCCTATGATCAAAAGAACCTTACTCTCATTGTAGTGAGAGAAGCATTGGAACTTCTAAGTAAGAAACCAATAATACATGCATATATTGCTGCTCATACTAAACCCTCGTCATCTTGTTTCCCTAACATGAGCATTAGGGCAGCAGAGTCCATTCGTACTGACAGTTACATGCTTGTGGACCTTGTCCTAATAAAGATTGATCAGCTATCTGTTCATGGACCAATACATTTGCACATTTTTTTATGTCTTTACTCTCATCCTGTTTAGCAATGCGTACATTCAGGACTAGGACCAGTCCTAAGGAAACAGCCTACTTTTCTTCTATGTAGAGGCAAAAATGGGGAGCTTCAACCACCTACCCTCCTCATGAACATGCACACAGACAAATGAAAAAAAATTAAAAAGAACTTACCATTCCATGAGAAAGCAAAGCAGATATTAGGAACAGCATTGCTCCCATACGACTTCGGAATACTGGAAGCAATGCTTCAAGCCTTTGAAGAGCATCCTCTGAAGAAGTATACGTATTAATGATTAAAGCCTTTTGCAAGTTAGCCCCAGACTCAATTGAGAGACCTTCAAGTGCTTTAGAAATGACCTGTATGAAACAGTAACTATTAGAATCAAGCATTAGTCGTTCACCAATAAAGAGAAATTGCAAGCACTTTCACATGCACATGTTCTTGATTAAGCATTACATCCATAAGGTAGAAGTAAAAATCTCAAATCTGAATGAAAAAAAAACAAGAGGAAAGACATGTAAAAAAGATTCAGAATATACCAAAAAGGACAAAATTTTGAGTACATGGGTCAAAAAGCTTTGTTCTTTGGTAGGGTCTCAACATGGATTCCTCAACTTTTATGAAATAAGAGTTACAAATTAGAAGTTAGATGAAAATCATTGTACATCACAATTTTCCTACTAAATATGTTTAGAAGTAAGTAAATTTTTTTGTCCTAAAATAAAAGTCGTTTGATTCCCCAAACAGTCGAATTAAATTAAATAAGAGGGAGTAACACAGAAAGGAGCAACGTGAAAAAACATATCCTACCAAACATCTAGTAGCTTACCTCATCACCTGAACAGCCCTGAGGCCCCACAAGGATAGCTTCAACTGTTCTCAAAGATGCTATCACAACCCTTCTATTGCTTCCACACATAAACAATATCTCACACATGCCTCTTACCAATGCTCTGTCCCGGAATCAATAAAAAGGGAAAAGAAGAAAAGATTTTTCAGGATTTTTCCCAAAATATCAAAAAATTCTCAGCAGCAATGATAAAAGTACACCAGTTAACTCAAGAAGAGATGATTCAATCAGACAACTGCAATCAGATGACCATAAAAGGAAAACTAACTGCAGTCAGCAGTTGGTCCTAGTGCTAAAGTTTCTTCATTAGAATTTTTCATTTTTTAGGGAGGGGTCCAGGGATTTTTATTTATTTTTTACTCATAAAAGAAGGCAGTTACATATAAAAATAATGTGTATGGAATATATGTGTGTGTGTGTGTGTGTGTGTGTGTGTAATATCTCTAGTGCATGTCTGCATGAGCCTTGTAGCAGTTAAATATGAAAAAGGGTCTCAATAAGGCATAAATTCAGTAAGCCACTTCAAAAACAACAAAATCTGCCCACATAGGAAAAGATTCACAAAGTATCCACCTTGATTTTTTCTCTTCACTTAGAGACGAAAAAATATCAGCTCCAGCAGAATCTTTATTAGCCAATCTTCTCGAATCCACATTGCCAGACAAGCTAGGTGAAACCATATTTAAATCATCCGAGAAAAACAATAGGTGCTTCAGAACAAAAGCCTGCAAAATCATGGCACCGTTGTCAAAAGAAGATGGAACAGTACGTGCAACTTGAATTGAGTCCAAAAGATGCTAAAGTCAAACGGGGAGTGTGATGAATTTAAAATCAAGTACCACTGGAAGTACAGCGTGCAATCACATAAAACGCACAAATTAAGTACTAAAGCATAATTAGCCAAATAATATGCCATCCAGCAGAACAAAATGGCTCCTGGTTATTTATTGGAAGATACAGAATATGCCCATGAATGTATAAGAAATTAATGCACACTTGCACTGCAACTTTTCCTAATTAACACTGGCATTTGTGTCCGTACATGTGGCTGTAAAACCATATCAATTGCTAACTTCTACCAAATACTTAAATCTACTATCCAGCGGTGACAACATTCATTCTTGACCGCTAGAAGTAGCAGTGAGATTAACATAAATAAAATCAAACCAAGTTCAAACCTATCTTTCCCGTGCAAAAAAAGTTCTCTAATAAGTTAGAGAATGACAACCAGTTCATCTTCATCTATGAAACTAAAATTTATTCCCAAAAAACAAGAGGGGACCAAAGTCTTACCTGTATTGCTGCTAGCACCCCACAGGGCCCACCCTCATGCTGCACTAAACCCATAGATGTATCTGGATCCGGACTAAACCTGCAAAGTATTTTGTTCAAGCATCAGCAAGTCAGCTCAGATGAATCTATGTATTAACTTCCAACCCAAATAAGCAGAGATAGATCAAGGAAGCCAACAATACAAGTAACAAAATTATATAATTACAAGCAGTACAAGAATTTCCCCAGCATATATACAAGGTTTGGAAAGATGCAATGACAGCATCCTCTACATATACGCTACACAAGGACATACTATGACGGTCTCTGTATTAGGTAGCGCAACATCAACACTTCTAAAAGCCTGTTTGACCAAGCTCCAAAAACTGCCTACTTTTTGAGAAGCACTTTCACCAAAACAGCTTTTCAGAGAAGAACTTTTCAAAATGAACAGTTTGTGTTCGGTCACTTTGTTTGAGAATTGTTTTTCCGGTAAATGACGAGTAGATTTTTATTATAATTTTTGATATTGTAATTGGTAAGTAGGTTATGTATGGCCAATCTTTCGAAAAAGTGATTTTGAGTTTCAAATTTAAAAAAGCGACAAGTATCATGGCATTTCACACTGTTAGAATTGTTTACACAGAAATTATTTTAAATATTTATTAAGACAGCCTTTGAAATGATATGAAAGACTCAGTGGAGACCAAAAGAAAAAAAAATTACTTAATTAAAGATATATACAATAAATTAAGAGAAATAGTTTGGTAAATATAAATTTATGGTAAGAATATTTGTCTCGAAAAAAATAACTTTTTGGTTCCGCTTATGGGGAAAAGCAACAATTTATAGTTTCTTCCTATGTAGCACAGACTCTTCAGAAATATCGACGAGTGTGTGTCGGATACTTCAAAAATAGTGTATTGTTGGAAAATTCAACACGAGTGCGGCAACATTTTTGGAGAGTCTGAGCAACGTAGGTTTCTTTCCCAATAGCAAAAATTATTTTTGTCACTCCTTACAATCACTTCTTTTGTAGGCCAAAGACCTCAAATCGAAAGAAAAAAAAATCAGCCTCCAAGAAGCTTGGCCAAACATGTTCTAAGGGAAATGAAGTTTAGCATCACTTAATTAGTTTGTATGGTGGCCATGGACACCAAAAGGGCACTGCTTTGAGGGGCAACGGATTTGGATAAGCATCACTAATGACACTATTTGGAGGATGAATCGATCCATCTCCTAACAACATTAAAAGGGCATCCCAATGCTCTAAGCTCCCGCTATGCATGGAATTCGGGAAGGGCTGAACCACAAGGATCTATTGTACACAGCTTTACCGTCATTTCTGCCAAAACCTTGTTTCCGCAACTTGAATCTGTGATCTCCATGTTACCTGGCAACTTTATCGATTACGCCAAGGCTCCCCTTCCAACAACATTGAATACCCAATATCAAAAGGGGTGTGCATGGTCCATTATAGTTCTTGCCTAAAACTGAAACCCAAGCCAACCTTGAGGCTTGAGCCTTTGGCTATAGTTTTGTTTGATGTGGTTGACGGTTGACCACTTCACAGAGGTCTTTCAAACAAAGCAAGCAAGTTGTGTATCTTAATTTAATTGGAAAGTATAAATTTAAAATGACAAATGAGCAAATCTTGTGGTTTTCAAAACTAGAAAAAAATTATTTTTACTTTTATTTTGAAAAGTACATATCTAGGACTAGGAAATGGATTCCTAAATTGGTGCCTTATGTGTCAATTCAAACCATGCACCATTGCGAGGAACTTGAGAGAGTTCGTTATTAAACTTCCCTAAGCAAATGCCAACATCTTAGTAGGACAAAAAAGTTAGTGGTCATGTAAAGGTGAATTCAAGATTCAAATGTTGAGGATTCTTTTGTGATAGATCCCAAGGTGACAAAATTGTTAAACTCAAAAGGCTTGAGGTGGCTTAGAGGAAGCCAAACCAAAGTGGCATTAGAGTCAGTTCCTTCCCAAGTAAACCTCAGCAAGGACGCAGTCCCTAAAGGGCTAAGTGTAACAACCCACGCATCATTGGTGATGAACTCGAGAGGAAGCTCGCTATTAAACTTGAGCACATACCAATATCAGAATGGAAGGGGAAAATTAGTGTCATATTCAAATGTTGAGGCCTCCATTATGTTATATCCCAGAGTGACAAAATTGTTTAACTGTTAAGGGACCAAAGCGGATAATTCCTTGGTGTACCTTATATCTCTGCCAAACGTAACATTATCCGTATTACAACTCTTACTAGAACTACTCATTACTATTAATTCCAATTTTTTACGTTCTTTCTTATTTTCAGCGATATGCTTATTTTATTTATGTTTTATACAAGTGCCTGAGCACCTAACAGGCTTAAAATTTTGAAAAGAAAAGAAAATAAAATTGCATTGCCCATAACAGCTATTTGTAAGACTATCTACAAGAAACGAAGGATATTCAAACAACACTAAATATACGGAAAAAAACAAGTCGTTAAGAAGAACAAGTACAACTCCAATTGGCAATAGCAAGAGACCAAATGCAATTTTCAATTGAACAAACTACCTCAAGAGATTATATCACATCATGAAAGGAGAAAAAGAAAAATCAAAACCAAGCTGAATCCATTATTTTAAGGGGGGAAAGCATCAATATTACCATACCTTATGCCCTGATTAGTCCACTGACCAAGAATATCCTTGGTAACTTCACAACCAAAGATCATTGAAAACAACTCATTGGCCTCTGCCAATGGAAGTTCTTCCATTAAGTTCACATTTTTCTCCTTACCCTTCACCAAGTTCACATTTTTCTCCGCACCCTTCACCAAGTTCACATTTCTCTCTTCCCCCTTCACCAAATTCACACTCTTACCCTTACATTCCACCTCTCTATTGCCAGACCCACCACTCTTCTCCAACACCACATTCTTGGGCAACGCCAACATCCGCTTTTCAGCAGCAGCAGCCATCAATTCCCTCTGACGTCGCCTGTTTTTCACCTCAGGCGACTCCCCTTCCTCCCCACCACCGCCACCAGATACCTCCTCCTCTCCCGGTTTACTCCTCTTAGGCTCTGGCGACTCCTTCTGCATACTCATCCTTAACGCCATTTTCAACTCTTCATCTTCTTGATCCGCCATTTGTATATTAAAAGAATCCCAGAAGATTCTTTCACAGACCCAGATCCAGGAATTCCACAAAACAGTAAACAAAATCGAATCTTTGAGCAAAAGCCAAGGTTTTCTTGAAATTCTAACTTAGGGTTTTCAAACCCAATGAGATTTTTTTTTCAGTTACAGATGTACAATACAGTAGAATTTCAAAAGATCAGTCTGGAGTGTTCATACAAAAATACATGAATATATGTACAAAGATTGAATTAAATCAATTTGATTCATATATAATGAGAGAATCGAAAGCTAATAAAAGCTGGATTTTATTTAATTATACTATATATATTTTGCATTAACACAAGGGGTCACCTAACAGGACAGGTAAAAGGAAGGTTATACGACGACGTCTTGTTGAAGAGTTTAGAGTTTCTAATATAAGAAGAGGTGCTGAATTGGATTTGGGTGTAAAAGATATCATCAAACACACTCCCGGTTTTTTTTTAATTGTGATATCTGGTTCAGCTTTGTAAATCTTATTTTTTTATATGTAAATATCCTCATATTAGTTTACACTATACAAGTATTGAATCTCAACAATAGACGTAATCGTAATAATATTTTACTTCTAAAATAATTAAAAAGTTTATTATTATAACACGTATTAAGCAATAACATGTAGATAAAAAAGGAACAATAACATTGCACTGTGTGAAATTTTCTCAATTATAATTGTGTATAAAGCTTTAATTTGTATATGATCTTTTATATAATTGTATATTCAAAATATGTATATAAATGAAAAGATAAAGTTCATGTACGTCTTATACATATACATATTAGTGTTGTTGTATAAAATTGTTGACTGTTTATTGAAATTTGTTAGTTATATAAATATACATACTTAACTGTTTTTTATGAATTGTATAAGTATATGAAACTGTTGAATGTCTATACGAATTTATATATTAACATAGTGCAGGTTATTATGTGTATATATTTGTAATAAGTATATGTACGTGTAAATTATTTTAGGTTTTGTAAATTGCATATTTGAATAAAGTTTTAATTTGTGTATATAAAAATTTATATGAGTATATAATTTGAAAATGTGTATAAGTGAAAAATTGAAGTTGCTAGAATTTGTTTAAATATATGTTCTGCCTATTTAGAAAATGATGACGTGCTAGAGAATTTTAAATTTTAAATTGAATTTGTGGAGAAGATTAAGGAGAAATTGAAGGAATGAGAAGAACATATTGTATGAAATAAAGAGAAAAGTAGGAGTGTGCACTATTTGGTTTAAACCGAAAAATCAAAAATCAAACCGAATTGTAATTTGGATTGATTTTTTGAATTTTTGGTTTGATTTTGAATTTATAAATTACTTTGTTTGATTTTTTGGTTTGATTTCGAATTTTAAAAAATCAAAACTGAAAAAACCCGAATTATATATAAATAGATTAATAACTACACATATAATATTTAGGTTTACAATATAGGATACTAGTAATTTAGTATTACCGTAATATTTAGGCCTTATCAAATTACTGCTATCCTTTTTCACTAAATTATAGACATAAGATTTTACATTATAATTATAAATATCACATATTACGTGCACTTTCATGGAAAAAAACTAGCAAAACTAAAATATGAGTTGAATTGTTGGTCCAACCTCGATGCGATTTGTGTTTAGTGATAGTACTTTAGAGATTGGAATTATCATCAATGAGCATTTAGTTTGATTTTATGTTTGGACATATGTTGATAGTGTATTGGATAAGATATTTAAGAGATTCAATATTAGCATTTTTCCTTAAATGAAATTTTTAATTTTGAAGCATGCAAATATGACTTTGATTATGTTATTAATTAGTTATGAAATAAGTTATAATTGAATAGTCAAACAAAAAAAAAACAAATCAAAAAGAGAAAAATTGAACCGAACCATTTTTTTGGTTCGGATTCGTTATACTTTTTCAAAATAGAAAATTGAAAAACCCAAATCGAATAACACAAAATCGAATCAAAAAATCGAATGCACACCCCTAGAGAAAAGAGAAAATATCCGTTTAAATTTTTTAATAATTTATATAAATCAGTGGGGCCTTATAATAGCAAAATGACTGAGATTTTGCTTATTAATTGAAATAAATAAAAAGATAATTATTGCATTTTTTATTATTTTTTTTAAACAAGCAAACTATATAAAAAATTGTGATCCAGCTAATATACAGAAAGACACATTCGTAGCAAAATAAATTTTTCTACGAAATACAATTCTAAATTTTTTTTTATATTTGCTATACATGAAATCTACTCTATAAAAATTCATAACAATATGAAATATATATATATTACCCTTTTATATAAATGAACAAGAGAGGACGAGCACAACATCAACAATTTGTACAAATAGCAAAATAATGTGTACCGTGGGTTTGTGCTATGTGGGCTTACTTGATTGGCTATCAGACACATAGGCACTTTTCTTTGCAGGAAACCAGCTGTATTGCACTTTGATGTTAGATTTTTCTCCTCACAAACATAGATCTATAGACTGTCTATAATGGTGCTAATAAACCTCTTTTTTTCCTTCACTGTTTGAACGTCGAATCTCGCCATTTATGGTGGTACAATTTGTATCTGGTGTTTCTATTGGTTGATATTTGTGTTATATAAGCCAACAAGAGCTAGAGCAATATGCTACTACTATGAGTCAAGAACATGTTGCTTCTTTGCGATACTCATTTCAAATTCTTTCAGACTTGAAAGTGTTTGTTTTCCTTGTCGTGTCTATATGCTTTAATTTTTTTACAGGTAAGTTATGTCATTATTGTGTTGCCGAAATTTTTCACTAGAACAAAATGTGTGTGTCGTGAGAGAGCTTAGTACCAAGAGTTGGCCGATTTAAAATATGTTGAAAGTCGTCGAATGAAATTGAAGTAAGGGCTTCCCTCCTCTTATTGGTATCTATTGCTTTTTATCTACAATGTTTTGTTACCATGTAGAGAAGGAGTTACCAGTTAAGTTTTTTTATAATTGCCTTAATTTTATTGATATTTTTTTTAATGGTATTTTATTTACTTACATGTGTTATTCTACAGTAGTATCATTATTACTTATTTTAAATTTTTTATCTAAGTGAAAGAATGTTCTGTTTCGGAGAAAAAAGTGATAGTCAACACTCTCTGCATTAAGAAACAATTGGTGGAAATCATTTTGATCTGTGGAGATAAAATTTTGACACTCAGTCAAGATACATGACTAGATAATGACGCTAAAAACTATATTTGTACTATTGTTTTCTAAAAATAATCTGAAGATTTTGAAATTTTTTTATATTTAAGCACTAGATTGAATCAAATAGTAAGAGATCATAAAATTACTTGATCTCTTGAACCTTTTAGTGTTTGCGAAATAGTAAGAAGAGTGAAGTAAATGTTGCTAGCAATGATCACATGAAAGTTCCTAGTTGCACCCAGGAAGTTGTGATCGTACATTATAACTTGTATTAACTATGCGTTCTAGTCTCGATGTGTGAAAGTACCTGACTTGGAATCTTAAGACACTGAAATGACTGAACTGAGAATTTTTGAGTACTTTCAATTGAATGAGGTACTTAAGAAATTTAGTTTCTTTTTATTTGATTTCCTTCTTTATAATATCAATTTATTGGCATATTTCTAAAATATTCTGTTAATTAAAATATTAAGAATATATCTTAAGCTCGTAGAAAATTATTACTTTTTAATAATAAGCTTTAACAAGAGCACAAAATAACTCATCCTCCTGACTAAGATCACAAAATGAATCTCAAAGAATGACATAAAAATAAAACAACAAAATCACAATTCGGCTTCTTGACTCAAACACGTTTATGTAATTATAGTTTGTTGGTTTATTCAAAGTGAGTAGACTCAAATTCAAAATGCGATACACAAGTCACGATTGCATTTACACGTTCGGATTGATATATGTTGACAGTGACGTACACATAATTTTTTACAAGTGGGTGTCACCCCTATATATATACATATATATATATATATACACACACACACATATATATATATGATGAAGCAGGTCACAAAACAATTTATGTTGAAGTGTCTAATTGAAATATGCAGACAACTTTAGGTGACCGTATATGACTTAAGCCTAAAATATATCTTGAACTATGCTAAAGATATACCCCTACATGAATTTTTAAAAATTAAAAGTCAAAAATAAAAATATAAAACGAATTCTTTTCACTTTCATTAGATAATAGGTATATGCGATCTCCTTTTATAATAATAAAGATATATAAGAACCATTATATAACAATAAAAGTATATATAAGTTACATTATAATGAGAGATGAACTATGTATAATTTTAAATGATAAAATTAAAAAATATATTGAATCATTTTAATGTAAGGGAATATATATATCTACACTATTTATTAACGAGATTTGGTATATATTGCTCTTTAAATGGATCTGTATTCTCTCCTTATTTCCCCCTAATTTTGCTAAACACGCCAAAACATATATTATCATTATAATTTTTTCATTTCCCAACAATAACTTTTTTATCTTAATTTATGTCATATTATTTATTTCTTTTAAATCAAATAATTTAATACAATTAAAAATTTGTGTGTAAAATTTTCTATTTTTTTAAAAATAAAATTTATATATTATGTAAAAAAGTACTATATATTAAAATTTGTTTGAATTTTGAAAGATATAAATTGGGATGCAGGAGTAATAAAACACATATACAGATTAGAGAGAAATAAAAAACGCCCATGCTCAAAAACGGAGATAGAGAAATTCGCTAAAAAATTCCTTGTTCATCGCTGAAACCTTGGATCAAGGTATGTATTTGAACACAAATCCGTTCACTCAACACTCATAGCTGATGTGAATTTGTTCATAGCCCTAAAAATCACTGTGTTCAGAGTCCTAATTGTCGTTCTTCACATCATTCAGAGCCCTAAAATCGCTGGTATGAGTTTCTTCTTACAATATATGATTGGCTTATTCATATATTAATTAATTACAATTTTGAGGAAGAATAAAGTGTTTATTGGTGTATATTGCAGTTACTAAACTTAAGCAATGCTTCAACAGTCATCATTCACTTAAGAATCACCTGTGTAGAAAATTGGTGTATAACCTCAACTGTATCTTCTATTAGAATCCCAAATCGGCAACATATGTCCTTTACACTTTGCTAGAAATGGCCTAACACTAAAAAGTAGGTGGAAAACTAAGCTGGTTATATATTTAAGTTTAATTCACACATGCATGGTGATTTAGATGTGTGCTGAATCTGTGTTAGCTGTAGTCCATGTACTAAGATTATTATTGGTGATGCATGAAGTTTATCATTAACTCAATGGACAAGAAATTTAAGAACACGTCATAGATGTGTGGAAGCCAATTTCAGCCTTCATTTTTTTTGGTAATTTTGAACGAAATTAACCTAATGATTTTGTCCATATACAACTCATTTGTGGAGAATCATCCTAAACCTTAAGGGTATAGCATGGACAATGCCAGGCAAGATAATAGCTGGGAGGGAAGATGTTCACATGCTAAAGATAAGAGTAGATGGAGAATTGTCTCAGCTTGTATTTGGTGGACAACTTGGAAGGAGAGGAGTTCCAGATGTTCTGAGAGATAGGCCTTAGAGAATGATGTGCAGAACATCAAGTTGAATTTCATCTTACTGCTATGTTTTTGGTGTTATCAGATTTACTCTAGTGATATTGTGTCTATCATAGATGTTCTAGATTCTTTATAGCTAGAGAGGGAAGACACTAGAGCTCTATTGTTAATATGTTTCATTACTACCCAACTACTGTTTTGATCCCTGGTATGATACAAAGTTACTCGTTTCAAAAAAAAAAAAACTGTAAAGTGTAGTCCTGGAATTCGAACACAAATGTTTGTGATTGATGGATGTCTGAACCAACATGAAAGATGTATATAATATAAGTTTTCTAGATCCTCCTACTTCTACTTGGATCCTCTTTGTATTCAAAACACTTAAGTACTTTTTTATGATTAATAAAATGTCGTATTTACCGATTAAAAGAACTCTTTAGAACAGATAGAATACCAAGTCATCAACGTTGGGTCCGTGCTCAACACAGGCTATTACCTATCTAGTATGGAAATATATGCCATTTAATATGTGTTGTTTAACACAAATACTGAGTCTAGGATGAAGCTAGTGGGTTCTGCGGAGTCCATAAGAGAAACTGTAACTCTGCCACCAGTGACTACTGAGTAAGATGTTTCGCTCACATTGAATTATGGGCATCCTGCATTGATTTTTCATTCCTTCAAACTAAGAACTATGTACTTCTTTCTTTTTTGTAGTGTGAACGTTCAAGTTAATTAAAAAATTGTTCAAAATTTAGGTGCTAAACTATGTTGTAACTATCCACAGTTGAAAAGCATAGTGAAGGCAAAAATGAGCCTTGATTTTATTCATCATTCATGTTCTCACTCCTAGCTCTTTGTTCAAGTTTAAACACACTTTTTTTTGTGGTTCTGGAAAATTCGATTTCACTTGTTTGTTGAATAGGATTGTATCTTTACTCTGTTTCGTATTGTAATTTTCAATTTAACCTCAAACGTTTAATTCAGTTGATTAAAATCCTCTTAGCACCTTTAGTTTGTTAAACGCACTATATTTCTTTTTTCCTTCCATTTTCAATTCATTGTGTCTATTAAAGGAATTTAATTATTAGACATTGGGGTGATCTTGAATTCGCTGAAAGTATCAAAGTTTTCCTTCCTATTTGGCTTTAAGTTGTTGGCTTCACTTGAGAGGAAAAGTTTCATTAACTTGTCGTAACCAGTTAGAATTGAATACAGCAGAATCAAGAGATAAATATTTGAGAATTTGTGGTTTAGGAAAAATTATTTATGGTTTAGGAAAAATTTGGGATAGAGAGAATCCCTAATTTATGGTTTAGGAAAAATGATTTAGTAACTGAATGAAATATACCTGACTAGAGAGGAATAGATATAGAAGATTTCATAGTCAACCTATAACTAGTATGGGATTGAGCTATAGTTGAGTGAGAGTCCATAGTTGAGTGAGAGTTTGTTCTCAGAGAAATCTCCAGTTTATCATAATTTCTGTATCTGAATTTATATGCAAACAGGAACAGAAATTGGAGGATTCGAGGCTATGAGAAATGAAGATTCATCTGGGACTGGTTAAGAGGAGCTGAAGGTGCAATAGTGAGAAGGATTTCGGTTGTGGCAAGGGTTGAGAAGAAACGAAGAATGATCTTACTAATACAAGGATTAACAATTGCTTTTTCCTACAGGAGTTTCTCTTAAACTCGTTTTCGTTGCTCTAACTAACAGTAAATGAGACTTAATATGTAGTAAATAATCCTATTTGCATGATGCATAGTTATATGGTTGCTGTAATCTAGTCTGTGTATGGTTGTTAAATGTTAAAAATATTTAATTTTATATGTTCCTCTTCCCTTATTGCAGTTTACATGTTTACAAATAGCCAAAGGCAAGAAGAGCGCACCGGAAAATATGGGACTCCAAGGGTGAAGTACCTTCAGGTTAATCCTGCAACTCACTGTATTGATTGCCTGACGCTATGAGAGAAAGAACACTAGAACTGCAAAACTTTGAATTGATACTAAGTAAAAATTGTGCATAACAATTCCTTATTAGCATAGATCTTGTTTGCTTGTTTGCCCAATCAGTTCTTTGATTCTTGTTTCAGGAATTGGTGAATCAGTTTCAGAATGCTTCTGCTGAAGGTATGCTTAGACTTTTATTCAACTGATTTTCTCTGTATCTACCGAACTTGGATTTGCTGAAATGAGACAAAATGTACTATCAGAATATCATATGGACATTCTTGTTTAGTCAAGTGCATTATTTTCATCAGGGAGTTCATAGATGTTTTCTAGCTTACAATAATGTTTATATTAACATAAGAATATCATTAACACTGTCAAGTCACTAGGAAGCTGTGTTCATATTTGTAAGTTAGGGCGTTTTATGGCGGGTTTCGAGTTTTCAAGCAAGATGTTGAACGATAAAGCAGCTGTTATTCTGACCAACAGATATCTATTAGCTATGGCAATTCGACTTACATTTGTCCCCTAAAAATAGGAATAACAGCGTAAATTAGTAAGATGTATGTCCTATCATTATTCCCTGTCTTTCCTCCATGAGAAAAAACTGCTCAGCGAGACGACGTAGTCATGTCGATAGCATCCAGAGCAAAGATTGATATATAATGAGGTTCAGATCCATCTGAAACATAGTATTTTACTACTTAAGGAACTATACTAGCGGCCAACCCAATTTATTGTAGAAAGTTTCGCGATCAATGATTGAACCAACAGAGCAATCAGTATTGCTAACTAATAGAGTCTGTTAGTCTGACATTTCTGTGTCTGTTCAGTGGAAAGTTAATTTCACGCTTGTCAAGATAATAACATATATGGCAGCCAATTGATTAACTTCAATCTGCTTTCTTCACTTCTTGTTTTGGCATCTATATGGCTTGATATATTCTTGTTATTACAGAGACAAAAGAGAAGATCGTTGCTAATTTGGCGAACTTTGCATATGATCCTTTCAACTTTACCTTTTTGCGCCAGGTCAAGAATCTTCTGATGAGTAGTTTGATTTTGTTATTCAATCATCTTTTTCTCTTCTGGTTGCCTCAACATGTCTTGTAATATTCAACAGCTTAATGTTATAGAACTTTTTCTCGACTGTTTAACTGAGCCTAGTGAGAAGCTTGTGGAATTTGGGATTGGAGGAATCTGCAATGCTTGTTCCGGTAAAGATCAAAGCTGTAGGAATTTATGTTGGTTCCATGATTTGGAACTTTTTTTTCTTGGTTCTGCTTTGAATCACAGTAGACTTCCTGTGATCTTCTCCAAAAAGTTGACTCAATAAGCGTTTGTGCTTGCAGATCCAGCTAATGCTGCTCTTGTCACTCAAAATGATGGTATCCCTCTCGTCATCCAGTGTTTGTCAAGTCCTGTTAGGAACACGGTAAGGACATAAACAAACATTTTGTGGTCTTCTTGGTTATTGAGTTCTTGCTGTTCATTCGTTAAAATTGCACATATACACATATACGTAGTGAGAAACTCGAAACTAAAATTGTTAATTGAACTGTTGAGTACCATTGATCCGTCAATCTTGTGGATAACTTTGATAAAAAATTTCATGCATCAGACATATCATATCATCTCTTATAGAACTTGGTCTCTTCTTTTTCCTTTTTTATGTTTGGCATCATACAAACTTCTGTTACTTTAGGCTGCAATCAGAATAAAATGATGTTGTCGGAATCAGCTGTTCTACACACGAAGACTTCCAAATTTTACTAATTTTGTTCCTCAATCTCAAACTGGTTTACTGTTTGGTGGTCAATTTTACTTCTCAAGGTCACTTATGGACATCCTCTTTTAAGCAATTCCAGAATTATGAACATAAACATTGCTCTCCTCGTCTTTATTCGAACAATCAAAATGATTTTTATATGTTTATATAATAGATGTTGAATTCCATTGGACTTCATTTTGTGTTCGTCTCTGAACACCTCCCACCCCTTGAAAAACATTGTTCTGCCACTGGCTCAACGTATATGGATGTATGTACATGGATTTGACACAAATGAACTTCAAACTGGGCAGGTGAATTACGCTCTAGGAGCATTGTATTATCTATGCAATGCATCAAACAAGGAAGAGATCTTAAAGCCAGAAGTAATTGATGCAATCAAGAGTTATGCAGCTGCAGGTGGAGTTAGTACAAGCTTCAGTAATTTAGCTCAGGCTTTCTTAGATCAACATGTTCCTCAGCTTAATTAAAATGCAGGAAATAAAAGATTATGTTGTAAAATTATATTTGAGCGGATGATCTATCGCAAATAATTTATTACTTCCAATTCATTATATTTTCAAAAAGTTATGAAGTCCACGAAGCACGTGACGTGGGCAAAGAAGACCCATGCCAAGCCAGTGGGAGATGGAAACAAAACATGTAATAAAGAGAACAAATATTGAGTTTCGAAAAGAACAGAAATTAGCACAAGGACGAGAATCACATTATCTTAGTGCCAACCACTAATCCTATGTATCACTCTCCGCTTTCCACGTGTCATCCTACAATTCCTTTGCCATCAGATCAGATAGCCCCGTTAATACCTGCACTGTACTGTATATCAAAAAATACGTAACAATCATTCAAATAATTTAAACTTTATATAAATATCAATTTATCATCGATTTCTATCTTGGTATGCTTTCGCTGCCCTTTGTTGTTAGGAGTTGATATACACTGATTCAGATATTATTTTTTAATTTTAATTTTTCACTTGACATGTTTAAGATCACAAGATTAAAGAGTATTTTGATACATTTGACATAATTTTAATTTAGAATTACAAGATCAGAAAATTTCTTTTTTTTTTAAATTTCGTTCCAAATCATATTAAGTCGTTTCAAGTCAAATTAAATCACTCTTTTTAAAACTAATGGAGTAATATCTACGCAGATGTTTATTTTTTCAAAAAATCCTGTAAGTTATTATAAGGATAACTCCTGAGATATCATTATATGTAACGTGGATAATGAAGAGCTAGGCAGCCAGTGAGAGATACAAACAAATTCAGCAGAGAAGAAAAACAAATTAGTTACAGAAATGACGAATTGGATCACGCTTTATCTTAGTGCGAACCACTGATCCCATGCATCACTCTCCTCTTTCCACGTGTCATCCTCTGACGTCAGACCAGATTCCTCTTCTCTTTTTTTTTTTAAATATATATGAGCATTTTAGCAAGTACTGCGTGCCCAATCTCTTGCACAAAAATCGAAAGCACGATGGATCACGCGGCGGATGCTCACCGGACGGATTTGATGACGATAACAAGGTTTGTGTTGAATGAACAGACGAAGCACCCTGAATCCCGTGGAGACTTCAGTATTTTGCTCAGTCACATTGTTCTTGGCTGCAAGTTCGTATGCACTGCTGTTAACAAGGTTTTTTATATCAACTTCTCTGTTTTGATTTTTTGTTTTCATTTGATTTGTGTATGGTTGTTGAAGAGGGTGATGCTTTAATTTTGCATGTTTATTGTACAAAGGTGGCGTCTACTAGCTAACAATTTTTTTCTTTTTAGAATTATGCGTCAGATTTATTTGCCTTATAGCAGCCAATTTAGTGGAGGAATATCAATTTTTCCTCGTCTCTTCTATCTGCTGTATTATTTTCAGCGATGCAGATTAATGAAGTTGTAGTGCAAGATAATAAGTTAGCTGCAGGTACTGATCGATAGAGCTCAGTAGTTATTTTAAACTAATTTTTCGTGATTACAAAAATGTACAAGGCAGAGGAAGCTTCTGCAGAATGAATCTGTTTTTGTGTAACATGTATTATTTATACCTTGTTGTGTTTTTCCGTTTACTCCTGTATTGATATATTTACGAGTCGATACATCTTTCCAGGCAGGTTTGGCTAAACTCCTAGGACTTGCTGGTGAGACTAATGTGCAGGCAAGTGCATGAAGATGCTGCTCTTATAATATTTGTAAAGCTTCCAATCTGTTTCAACTTTGGATTACTCTGGTTTTGATTTCTAATTGTAGGGAGAAGATCAAAAGAAACTTGATGTACTCTCAAATGAAGTGTTTATCAAGGCTTTGGTTAGCAGTGGCCGAACAGTAAGACTCGAGATACTCATTTTTATTAGTACACATTGTGAAAATATATGGTGATTTTAGTCTAAAAGTATGTCAAATTATGTAGTGCATTCTTGTCTCTGAAGAAGATGAAGAGGCCACATTTGTGGAGCCAGCTAACCGTGGAAAGTGAGTGTTATTGTTCTATCTCTCTAGTTTGACATTTATCATTATGCTTGAGAACTAATCACTAATCCATTGATGCAATTTTAACGACAGATACTGTGTAGTTTTTGATCCTCTGGATGGATCATCGAACATCGATTGTGGTGTTTCTATTGGAACGGTATGATTCTAGTTTGAGAAATATTTATGTTGTTGTTACTTGGCTATCCACCACTATATCCTTTTTCATGTCACAATGAATAATATATCTCATTTATATAGATCTTTGGGATTTACATGATCAAAGACGGTCATGAACCAACACTAGATGATGTCTTGCAACCTGGGATGAACATGTTAGCTGCTGGTTACTGCATGTATGGAAGTTCTTGTACGGTATGTGGCTTACATTTAATTTAAATATGCTCTGAAGTATTTTGAAATTCTTGTAAGACAATGATGAGTTGGAAATACAAGTAATAAGATTTTCTGAACTCCGTTATTTGCAGCTAGTTTTGAGCACTGGATCTGGAGTTAATGGTTTTACCCTTGATCCCTCTCTTGGCGAGTTCATCCTAACTCATGCTGACATCAAGGTAACGCCGTTGCTTATCTCCTTGTATCGCCTTAGAACATAGAACTTGTTGTTGACTAATAATCTTGATCATTACTTCATTGCTCAAGATTGTCGTAGAACTTAAAGTTGATAATCTTGATGGAAAATGTTCTAATCAATTTTTAGAAAATGCTATCAAGATAATTTTTTATTAATCTTAAGTGTGTTTTAAATGGTCTACTGGCTTCTCTCGGGTTGTAGAATCGAATGGCGTTTGGACCACACATAATCAACTTTCGGTTCTGTTAGTTAGTGACACATGCGACCTAACATAAGATTGGCTTAGCATATCTGGTGCCCTATTTCCTTTTATGATTTCTGGTTAACATGGTTTTCGTTTTGCTTTTACGTGCAGATTCCTAAGAAAGGGAAGATTTATTCAGTGAATGAAGGAAATGCCAAGAACTGGGATGGTCCAACATCCAAGTACGCTTATTGGAAAGCAATAGCTAATAAGTTTGTTCCCCATGTTCATGATATCCTATTATTCTCTTAAATTTCAGATATGTGCAGAACTGCAAGTATCCCGCTGATGGTTCTTCACCTAAATCTTTGAGATATATTGGAAGGTAATTGAAAACTTCATAGATGCTTAGATTGCACGGTTTGTATTGTTACCATGTCTTGTATGATCCAATTCACCAACCTGCAATCTGAACCATATTATCATGACGGAAATTTCTGTTACTTGACATACTAGGCCGTAATGTGCATCATGAAAAAATTTGATATGTGCTGTAAAGGTGAAACTCTCTATATATGTAAAAGATGGTTGAAGATGAGCTCTGTTGAGTTTGGATCTACATTTGTTACGTTTTTGGGCATGGGACAATACGGATATCAAGCTCCCTGTTCATCCTTCTTCAAAGCGATAAAGTCAGGCTTCCATTATCTATACTTTTTAACTTAATATGTATTTATCTCTGGTCATTTCCAACTGATAGCTACAATATTAGGAATCATTACTTGACGATCTTAGAACTCTTATAAGCCAACTGTGGTTGAAATATTCAAATGTTAAAAGGTTGACATTACATCTGCAGACTAAGGTCAAATGGAGATTTTTTGTTGGATTTCTTATTAAACGAATCCTTCTATTTTACCGTTTGTGCAAAGAGTTCAGTGGATTCTTGTAAAGCGGATTGGGACTGATGTTGCTTCAATTTTAGTTTGTTTGTTCTTTTCTTGTGATTTCCCTATGTCTTTGGAATTGTTAACTTTGTATGTAATAGCTTTTGTTTGCATGGACATATTGTTAATCAACTTAGTCGAAGCTGGACTCTAATTTGCAGTATGGTTGCTGATGTTCATCGTACATTACTCTATGGAGGCATCTTCTTGTACCCCGGAGATAAGAAAAGCCCCAACGGGAAGCTGAGGTACGTTATGCACATTTTCGGAGTCACAGAAGAATTTCCTTTGCAATAACTCGCGGAAACCTTTGCTAATGAAATATATGAAACAGGGTTCTCTATGAAGTATTTCCCATGTCATTTCTGATGGAACAAGCAGGAGGTCAAGCATTTACTGGGAAGCAACGGGTACAATTTCTGATAATTCTGTCTGTTGTGTTGGGAAAACACGGACAAGCACAAAAGTATATATGGTAAATGTAATGGAAATAAAATGGAAAAATAACGACACCAAGAATTTTACGTGGAAACCCTTCTGAATAAGGGAAAAAACCACGGGCCAAGAGGAGCAACTGATATTACTATAGTAAAAGAATTTTACACTGTGTAGTCACGAATACAACACTCAAAGTGACTACTACACACTCAAAAGGAACAACACTCTTTGGTTTCTGTCTTACTAAAATATCGCTCACACTCTATTTTTCTTCACAGACTATTTTCTTATATAGTCTATGGAATACCTCACTTTGCTCTCAAAATGGTTTTTCTCTCTAACTTGGTGTGTTCTACAAATGAGCAAGAATGCTCTATTTATAGAAGGATAAAACCATACCTATGTCACTAATGACATATGTAAACATAGCAAAGTCAAAAATGGTTGCAAATCTTACCAATTTGCCAACTACCAAATCTTTTCTTTTCAACTCCAATTACTATTCCTTTTTAACAATTTCTTGTACCAATTGAATAACTAAAGTTGACTAAAACAATTGGGATGAATTCAACATGTTGGGCACAGTATAATAATACAAGAAGCTAGCGTTTTGTTCTATTATTAGAACGTGACACTCATAGTAATGTTATTATGCAGGCACTTGACTTAGTTCCAGAGAAGATACACGAACGCTCTCCTATATTTCTTGGTAGTTATGATGACGTTGAGGAGATCAAGAATCTCTACGCTGCTGAAGAGCAAAACTGATAGATGTATCTATACCATGTAATCACTTCACTACTCTTGCTGGTGCAGATATCAAATTTCTCAAATTAGAGCAAGTTGTTACTGTTTATGTTGCACAATAGCTGCTGTGACGCGATAATACGTTCACATTACTGGCTTGTTCTAACTTTTTTCTTGAAGTATCCTTTTCTCATCAACAATAAAATGTTGAATAGAGAAGTTCTGGCTTATTATTGCTCATTTTAATTCAAAGTTCTTTTGTAATGTCATCCATTTAGAATCAAGCCAATCTTTTCTGCTAGATGTTGTCTGGTTCTCATTGCATTGTTATCTTTCATAGGTTGTTGACTAACATCTATATAAATGATATCACTGGCTTCTTGTGAAATTCTTGATAATGGAATTCAAAGATTGCCGATATAATTTTTAATTACTGTAATTTATAATACTTTTTCGTAATTTTTAAATAGTATTTTGTTATTCATACTCTATCGATTTATGTGACAATGATAGAATTACGAGAGTCAATTAAAAATTTAATATATTTTAAGTTGTTAATTGTTATGTTTTATATATAGTACATATAAGCAAGAAGGCAAGAAGCTGTGTGCTTGTATGTAACCCCTTATATAAAAGGGAATTAGGTATTTATTTCTTATTCTATTAATTTTAAGTGAGTTGGATAAATTATGAATTGAATTCAGGATAGGCTAAATCTATTGATTAATTTTTTAAATTGTTTTTTTTTTAAATTTAAAATTGTCACGATCATTAATGAAAATTATGTTTTTAACTAGAGATAATCAGGAATGCTTGTTAGACATGGTTGGATGACCATATAAGCTTATTAAATGAAAATGTCTTTTTTTTTTCTTTTTCCTGAAGCATAAATGTAGAAAAAAGAAATAGTATGTGCACTTGAACAGGAACGCCAATAATATTGTTCAATCATACATGTTGCACTAAAACATGGAAGGCTTAGGAATTCTCTTTATTTATTCAAAAAAAAAAAAGGGTGCTTTTGGCTATAGATTTTTTAAGTACTTTTTATAAATAAATTGTATTTTGTTTTATGAAGTTAGTAAAAAATAGAAACAATAAAAAATAACTGAAAAAACTGGACAAATATAAAAGAATGACAATTTGTGATATGAATCAATTAGAGCAGCATCAGAGATATGAATGAAGAAATATTGATAGTGGCGTAATCTTTGTCTAGTAGTTTCGATATTTATAGAAAGTAAGCTTAAAATTAATTATTGTATATATAAATAAATTATGTCGTTGGCTTATAGATATAGGATTGAACTCGCGATTCAAAATTCAAAATGTGAACCTGTGTGTATTAGACTTCTACTAATAATAGATAGCATTGATATATATAATAAAATTTTTGATAACCCCTTCACGTAATATAAATTCGCCCTTAAATATTAATATTATAATATGTACATATTCATAAATGACAGACATATTTATGTAAAGTATGAACTCTTGAGCAAAAAATAAGATAAAAATGTTACACTAAATATGTAGTTGAAACTTATAAAACTGTTAAATATATTATTTACTTTATTAATAATTTAAATTTTTCTACATCTTCATACCAAATTTGATTAAAGAAAATTATACTAGAATTCGACTATTTCAAAATGACAAGCATTTAGTATGATCACTCCTAGAAGATTAGCATTTAGCAATTTCAGCCGTAGATGAATGTTCCGCTCCGTCGAAAATAGGACGAAAGTTGTAAAATTCCAACACACCCGATTCTCTCTCTCCTTCTACCCTCCTTCTTCCCCTGTACATTTCACCTTTGTATTAACCAACAACAAATAAAATTAAACTAATCATCACAATTCTCAACCCACAGATCCCAAAAATTCAAACACACTCCATTTTTAATTTTTTTCACGAGAATAGTATACTTTAATAATCTTCAAATACTATAAATAATGTCAACCGACACTGACGACGAAGACGAGCTCTTACAGATCGCATTACAGGAGCAAGCACAACGCAATATTAATTACCAGAAACCATCGAAGCAACCTTCAAAACCAGTTCGAAACTTCGTTCAGCCGCCGTCGCAGCCTAATTTGAGAGTTGCTGCTGGTGCTACGTCGGAGAGGAAGAACCCTAATATTGCCGCCGCGATGCAGAAGACAAGTAATAAGAGTAGTAGTAACCAGAGGAAAACTGTGGAGGATGATGATGACTCGGAAATCGAGATGCTGAGTATATCATCTGGTGATGAGGATTCGTCCAAGGATCGCGGGTTTGGGTCGAGGAATCGGGTGGTTAGTGGTGGGGGAAGAGCTGGACGGGAGGATGATGGATTGTGGGATGGAGGCGAACCTGATTCCTGGAAACGTGTTGATGAATCCGAGGTATGTCTATGTTGACTGATGCTGCTACTATTCTGTGGACTCATTCTTACTGATGGTTGATATTTGTCTGAGCAAGTTCCCCGTAATGCCAGGCATTTCTAGTACTGATAATTTTTGAGGAACTGTTCATTTTTAGTTCTCCTCTTTTAAAGTAGAGCCTATAAGGAAAAAGGTGCATACTTTGCCGAATTAGTGCTTGCACTGAATCAATGCCTGAGCCTAACTTTTTAGCAACTCTGTTTTAAGTATACAATAAAAAAATTTGCTTCAATTGATAACCTGTTTGCACATATCTATAGTAATGTTCTTTTTATATGTCTGTTTACTCTATGATTACTCATTTTGCTTCTGAATAATTATTGAAATTCACTTATGCTTGGATTGTTCATTTAAGGAAACCAGTCTTAGTTATTATGGTCTTGTCATATCAATATGGAGCTCTATGCAAAATTATTTATCTTACTGAACCATAATCATAAGGAGCTATATGTATTTGTGTTGGTTATTTTGTTCTTGGTGTTTCTGTTTCTGCACAATTATTGATTATTAAACATGCTTGAATAGATAAAGAGATTCATAGATTGAATATCGTGCAGCTAAGACGCAGGGTTCGTGAGATGAGGGAGGCAAGAGTGGTTGCAACCACTCAAAAGCCTGAGCAGGAGAAGACAGCAGTCCCAAAAAAGGATCTTAATAATTTGCAGTCTTTTCCTCGTGGCATGGAATGCGTCGATCCTCTAAAATTGGGGTACTTCTGTTCATGGTTAAAAAACTGGTTTCACAGACTGCTTTCTCTTGATACTTGTGCTAACTGGGATGCTGTTTTCTTGTTGACAGGATAGTTGACAACAGAACATTAAGGTTAATTAGTGAGAACATATCAAGTTCCCCATCCATAGGCGACAGAGATCATTTAGACCCCAATGTTCGAGGTATTTACTTCTGCCACCAAATTATTTGATTCTAAAATGCTGTCTTGTCCCTCTTTGTTCATTATTTTCCTTGGACCATATATGTGGTTAGCTTTATCTGGGACAAGGGGAGAAAGAATTTTTGTGAGCCCATTCAAAGTCATGGTTATCCGGTGTATGTATAAACGTAGTGGTAAATATGAAGTTTGAACTCCATTACAAGACTTAGTGGATTGAATGATATTGCATCTCTATGCTCCTGTATTTGGTGATGCTTGTTGTTTTGATAATGAGGATCTTATTTGTGATATGTGATGAGCTTGTGTTGTGATTACCCTTTAGGTCTGTAGTGGTTTACTTTATCTCCACCTCCATTCATTTTTGTGGCATTCTGTAAATCAGGACTGAGATTCATATTGGGGAGGGGGCTCTGTTTTCCTACGGATCTTTTACAAAGTCTCATTGCCTTTGTGATTGAGCCGTAGGGAAATGACTTGTCCTTGTCTACTATGAAATACACCGCTTTGTTGTGTGAGTAAGCATGTGAAGCTTGGATTGCTATCATGAAGTTACTTTCGATGTTGTTGCACTGCAATATATTTATGTTCTCTAAGGATGTATTAGACCAATTAGATAAGCTTAAAGAGATAATGGTTACTGCAGCAAAGAATTGCTTGACGTACTCATGTGTGAGTTTGTTTTGGACATTGCTGAAAATTGACCTCTATCTTGGTATTTACCAAAGAAAAGGTCTATAATGTAATGTTAAATTTATCAATACCTAATCCCATGTGATAACTTTTGTAGTGTAAAGTATCTAAGACATTATTTTTTAGAATAACATCTGTATGGTAAATGAGGAACCTACCATCACTAAATTGCTAATTGTAGGACGTTGTAGAAAGAGCTACCAGGTTGCGACTCGTTTGTTACTTTACAGTTTAAAGTGATGAATTTTCACTCTTAGGAGTTGTTTGGTGTGAAGGATAATACCAAATAGGCTTGAGATTAAATTATAGTGCCATCTAATTTGTTGTTTGGTTGGCAAGTCCTGGATAACTTATCCCGGGATTAATAATTAGTACCGGGATAAGTTATTCCTCCCCTTGGGTGGTATAGTAATCCTAGGATAACTTATCCCCGGATAAAATAAGTAAATGACAAAAATAAGTCTTTAAACCCTTTTTATACATCACATTGTACATTCATGAAGGGCATTTTTGTAAATAAATAAATTGTTTTTCAAATTTATTATTTTGAATACAACAAACCAAACACTCAATAAAAAATAATCTTATCATAACTTATCCCATCATAATTTATCTCAATCATAACTAATTCCAACATAACTTGAAATTAAACCAAATGACTCCTTAGTAATAGACATATGATGGGGCCTCATTGTGTCCACATGAAAGTGCATGCATAAATTAGTGCATCATTCTCTAATGATAAGAGGAAAAAGAAGAATGTGTTGTGTATATTTTTCTCTCTACTTGTCACGCCCCAAAAGAAAGGGCGGACAAGAATTGTATGAACATCATGCTCCACAAATAAGCTATGTCATGCCTGAAGTTATAAGCTTAAAGCAAGCGGAATAACCAACACATGCTATATATATATATGTATATATATATGTATATGTGTATATATATATATGTATATATATATATGCCTTAAAGTATCTGGCCAAAAAATTACAACATGTACTAGCATGTAAAGTAGAAAGAATAACAGGTAGATAGATATGGAGCTCATATGAACCAAATGTCTAATCGAAAGAATTATGAGCATATAAGGAGTAGATATATGATATGAAACTGTAACACATGCACCAACTTGATAAGTTCAGCACATAACATCCAACAGTGATGGAGCCAGAATTTTCAAATAAGTGGGTTCAAAATCTGTAGAAATAGACACACGAAGTAGCCGAGGGGGGGGGTTAGACATCCACTATATATACATAAAAATTTATTTTAACCATATATAATTAATATAATTTTTCTCCGAAGGGGTTTCGGGTGAAACCCTTTCGTACAACGTGGCTTCGCCTCTGACATCCAAACTCCAAAGAAGCGTTCGTTATATATAACATCTATAGTTTACC